GCGTTTAATATATACAACATCCATCACATGATTCAGATCCATATTTTTATTCCGTATTCAGATCCAGCAAGCAATTTAAACCTCCAACTCTTTTTTCTCACCTTCTCTAAAGTTACGTCAATGTCGAATAACTAGGGGAAATTGAAATAAAACGATATTTTTACTGTAGGTTTGGAAAACTATACATTTAGCTCTAAACCTTGAAGAAATATACCTTAGATTAATGTTAATCCTAATTTGCCTGTAATATGTAGGGTTTATTTTTGTTCTTCATGTTTCACAAATCCTTTTACGTCATCTCCATGTTTCACGTTTCTTCTTCTTCTTATGTTCCTTTTTTCATCTGTTGCGTAGGCTTAAGCTATAAAGCTGAAGATGCTACTAGTTTTCTAAAACCTAATATCTACCAATATAATCTAATACACTTATACAAGGTAAACACCTTTCTCTATGTCTTTTTAAATTTTTACCAAGTTAAGAAATTGAATTGAGTGCGACTCCAAACAAAAATTTATAAACCCTTAGTAAATTATTTTGTAGAATCCATAGATATTGATGTCGTTACAAGCTTTTCTAGGATTCTTATTTTTTTTTTTTTAAACAAATTGATCGATTTTATTACCACACCAGCCGTTCCAAATAACTGCTAGATATTGATGAAGAGGGATCGATCATTTTCCCTCATGACCGATCGGTTTAAATGCTATGAATGTTAATCAGTGTGAACGATTGGTTGCTACATGATGTACTTTGAATTTTCTTTTCTGCATATAATCTTCTCGAGCTCTCAAAGCCCCTATGATACTGCTTCCATTTTATTACTAATATTAGTTTACGATATTCTTATTTGATTGTGTGTAGATATGGAAGAGTTTCTGAAATGTCTAATTACCATGGGAAATAAGCCCTGCGATACAAATAAAGAGTAGCTGCAAAATTTCATTTATAACCAAATTAATGGATATCCTACAAACAGAGTACAATAAAGTAAAAAATGATTTAGTTTTTTCTCATATTCTGGTAATACATAAAAATTGTTTAGGATATTCAGATCGATGGATACACAACATTATGTGTAGGCAATTGATTATGAGAAAAAATATGAGATATGGTGTGTGTTTGGAGGGAGGCCATTACGATTTTCACAACAAGACTTTTACGCAGTAACATGGCTCAAATACAAAGTTGATGAGAGAATCTATGATTTAGAGAAATGGAAAAATGGAAATGGGGTTTTGAGTAAATTTCTGAAAAGAAAGGAGAAGATTAGCATAAAGAAGCTGTTTGATAAATTTCTCGCAGATGTTAAGAAGTCGAATCATGTTGACAGAATCAGGTTTGAGTATGTATGTGTAATAGTGGGGTTGATAATGGCAAAGGATGAGAAGAAAGAAATCCCCCACACATATATCAAGGTGGTAATAGATCTTTATAAAATTATCCATGGGGTGTTGAAGCATTTGACTTGCTAGTTAAGTCCATCACTAATAAGCAAAATCAATTGAAGTACCTTAGCTATGTTTTGGATGGTTTCTCTATGTTTTGGATGGTTTCTCTTATGCATTTAACATTTGGGTTTTGTAAGTAATTCCAAATATTAGAGATCTGTTGGGAAAAAAACTTGATAATGATTTGACACAAGGTCCTTAATGTTCAAATTGGACATGAGCTGCAAAAATATCATACAAATTCTGTTATATTCCATAATCGTCTAAACCATCATCAGTAGGTACATAATTGAACTCTACATCAATCATATTCTAAGTTAATGATCAAATCACTAGGTAAATAACTGAACTACACATTAACCGTATTCTGTTCTATTCCATAATCGTCTGAAATCATCATCTTTAACTCATCAAGAGTAGTAGTAGATTCCAACGTTAGTAATCTACCACATTTGTCTTGATCAACAATAAATGTCAATTCCTTGTTGTGAAGGGATCTCCATACTCCACATGTTACGTATATCTGCAACATTTTCACCTGTAACACAGAAGAAAAGTATTAAGTAATCTATATAAATTACGATGTCCAAACTATACTGAGAAAAAATCATTGTCAAAAATTGATTTATTTATGTGGACCAATCGATCCGAAGTATGCAATCAGTTTTGGGATCGCTCGGTTTACATTATGATACGATCGTTTTCTATTTATATGCTACTTTCGCCAAAATAAGAGAAATATGAACATGCAACATCATCAATGTGAATAGACTTTGTAATCCTTCTTAAACAAAAATTGAGTACGAATGTATATACAAACCATCAAAATTGATTAAATTAAGAACTATACAGCATTTGAAATATGAAAACACACACACATATGGGAAATAAGAAGAAAAAAATAAAGAAATAGAGAGACTACTTATATGCATATGAAGTAGAGATAGAGAGAGACGAGTTATGTGCATACTAACCAAATAAACGGTTTTGTTTAACCAGAATTTAAAGTATTATTTTGGTGTTTTTAAATTTTCTATATTTTCTATTCTTAAAAAATATTTCAAAAAATATTTTAATTAATTAATTAAGTTTAATTTAATCACAATATGGACAAAAGATTATATGATATAATTTTCCAAATCCATTGTAAAAGTGTCTTTTTTTCTTTCAATTTTCCCTACTAAAAAAAGTAGTACTCAATTTTAATTGCATCCACCCTCAACTTTTAGGAAGAATAAAATTGTCAAAACAAGTTAACAAAAACAAGTGTTTAGTGGCTTATTTTGAATGGAAATATCTTTAAATGATTTAATAGGTAAAATACTCTTAGAAATATAATAAAAAATAGAATTATAACATCCTGATATAAATTTTTATATCCAGAAACTTAAAAGAATATCCAAAATAACAATCAATTCTTGTAAATACTATAATAGGATGTTACAAAAAAGTTTCCAGTTTTTCCCAACATTTTACAGATTAATTAAAAATGTTTGACTTGGATATAGTTTAACCCTAAACTACCCTAAATTGCCTTTTTATCCAAAAATTTCATCATCAATTTAACTATTTTTATCAAAATCATATATATAATTAGGGAAAATTCTCTCCAATGGAGCTGTACACCTCAGCAATTTTTTTTATTTTTTTGGGCTTTTAAATATTTTGGGTTTTCACATAATATTAATTTATGTGAGTTTATTTTATACATGTTTTTCAGCTTTCTAAGATATTCACTTTGAAAATTACTAATTTTTCAAAACCCAAAAGCTATATAGCCTCTATAAAAAAAAAGTATGCTAATTCAGATAAGAAAACAAAGATTGAAATCAAACAAATATGGAGAACTTGCATATAATAGTTATTGAAATTTTTTTAAAAAATATTCTGCAAAATTTTTGCAGAAAGCTAAAATAAAATCATTCCTATCTATATTACGTTGTAAAATGAATAAAGATTTTTCATAAATAAAAAACTAAAGTTTCATTGTAAAAAAAAAAGAAGACTAAAGTTTAAAATCATGTAGCATAAAAATAAACTTGATCTATACAAAAAGAAAAAAAATACTTAGGACTATTGTGTTTGAGAATGAGTTATAAAAAGTTTCTCTCCAATAAAGCTATCTAGCTCAGCAATTATTTTTTTTCTTTATGGGCTTCTACATATTGTGATCTTTCTTTTTTTATGAGCTTCTATATATTTGAAGTATGTATTTATTAGGCCTTCATATAAAATAAATTTAAAAGTAAAAAAAACAACTACTTATTTTACGAATCATAGAAACTAAAAAAAAATTATTAAATAAAAAAGTGAAAATGTTATTTAGAATAAAAAACAAAAAAATGTAGAAAACAATTTGGAAGGCAAACAAATACAAAATATGACATCAGAACTTGCGAAGGATAATTATCAAACTTTAAAAAACAAAATTGAAAAAATTTATGTATAAAACTAAAGTAAAATTATTTATATAAAATAAATACTTATTTTACAAATCATAAAAACTATAAATTCTCTACGAAATAAAAATAAATCAAAATATTATTTCAAATATATATAAAGAGAATGTGGAAAAAAAGTTTGAATGCAAACAAATACGAAAGATGACGAAAAAACTTGCAGAGTTATTAAAGTTAAAAAAGAAAAATCAGAAATGTTTCTCAGCAAAGATTTCATCATCTTCAAACTCTTCAAGTCCAACGAATTCTCCTGAGCTCAAATCCTTATGCAACACTGGTTGCAGGTTCTTTCCACTTCTCAATGTGATGACATTCACATGGTGCTTGGGATTAGCATCAGTCCTTCCAGAAATGAATCTTTCTTGTCTCTGAACAGTTCCTACAGTTTGAGCAACTTGAACATCCAGTTTTTTCATGTGAGAGTTCATACTCTCGATTTTACCATTCAGATCTTGATATACATAAAAGTAAAATAAAATCATTATTTTATTATGAAAATAAATAGAAATTTTATATGAATAAAAAAGACTAAAGTGTTTAATCATATAGCATGAAATGAACTTGATCTATACGAAGAAATTTTTTTTTATCAAAAACATGATTATTTGTGCTTCAGAATGAGTTAGAATTTTTCAAAATTTATAAAAAATGAAGAAGTAATTCAGTTTATAGCATTGAGATTGTTGATGTTGCCGAAAATAAACAATGTAAAAAAGCTAGAAACCAAATGAATAGAAATATATATATAGTTAAAAATTTAAATATTTATAACATCATATAAATATAGATGAATTTTTTAAATAATTAGCACATGTTAATAACTTTATAATATATATATATATATATTTTAGGACAAAAAATAATAAAAATAATTTAATTAAAAAATAACTATAAAACAAAACAAATAAAATAAAAATAAACATAATAATAAAATAAATATATAAAATTATAAAATACAAAAATAAATTAACAAATAACTTGCGGATCAAAATCTAGTATTTCAAACCTGCGTATGCTCTTTTCCCGCACCTACCCCCGCCAATAAACTATACATGATTTGCACACATTGCACACTAACGTTAATAAATTGGAATTTTCAATGAGATCATAACAAAATTATGAGATAACATTTGAGATTGAGTCACGTGGGAAAAAAAAAACAACTTTTCTAGTCAAAGAAAGAAATTCCAATAATTCTAAACTAGTTCTAGCTACTAGTTGGTTCTTAAAGATTATTTTATTTTATAGTCTTGAGTGACTAGAAAATAGAAAACGGAATTGAAACTTAGCTTGATACAATAATAATACAACAACACCACACTTACACAAAAGAGAACCAAAGTATTAACGCATCGCAGCACTACTCCTTGAGATGTTGATACGTGGTCGTTTGCTACTCTTTGGACTGTTGTTACAGTCGAAGCTTACACCATCTCCACCAACAATATCCGTAAACATCCGTTGCAAGTCTTCTAAGCTGTCTCCCTAATTAATCAAAACCGAACCGGTTCATCAAAGTTAATTTATATTTTAAACCGAAAAAACTGAAACCAATCTTCGATAAATAACAAATTGAGCTTGCGGTTATCAAACCGGTTCGTGATCAAGAAGACAATCTGTGGTCTGAAAATCAACCAAAATAAGGAAAACACACAAAACCGAGTAATCGATGAATCTAACCGATCCTTCAAACCGCAAACTCTGAATACTCTTTTTACAAAAGCTTGCGATCTTTAACTTTATGTCATATTATCAAACAGGTCAATGCATGGATAATCGTGATAAGACAACATTCAGTTTGAAAAATCGACAAGTTAAGAGAAACGCAAAAAAATATCCATTTAACCGGTCTCGGACAATCCTACCAAACCCGAATCATGTATACAAGTTGTATCAACATTCAACAGGAAGAAACATTTTGAGAGCCAATTATTAGAATTGTTTGTTGAACCGGCTGGTTATACTGAACCGGGAATTATAACCGGAAGATGAGAATGCAACATACGGACATACCTCGTCTTTGACATTGTTCATCATTGAGATCATCTCTTGCATGAAATCGCAGAAGTCCTGACCACAACATTTTGGGGAAAAATTCAGTTTATAAATAATCTGGGGTGAAAACCATAAATTCCGAAACAATAATGGGCTACCAATAAAGAAATCAAAGATCAAGAAACGACGGCGTTTAAGTTCTCCAAAGGCAAAAAAAACTTATATACTTACATCGTCATCATCATCATAGGGATCGTATAGCCCAGCGTCGTACATTGAGCGTTTACCCTCGTCGTGCAGAACTATAAGATGAACGTTAATTATTAAGTCAGACGGAAATTAAAAGATAACGGACGTTAAGAAGATCTTTTGACGGAAGGAAGGAAACTGTGAATTTACCAGAATAGGCTTCTTGGATTTGCTGAAACCGACGTTTAGCTTCTCCGGCGACACCAGGATTCTTCGCGTACCTATCTGGATGCCATTTCTTCAAGCAAAAATGCCAAATAAAACGACAACTTCACCAAAATACTCAGAATTAAAAGAATTTTTTTGCGATATTCGAATGAATATTCTCGAATTAAAAATTCCGGAGAAAGAGCACTCGATCAAGTACCATGGCGAGCTTACGGTAAGCAGTGCGGATGTCGGAAACGGAGGCGTCTTTACGAATCCCAAGTACGCTGTAGTAGCTAGATCTGACGTTGGATCCTCCGCCTTCACTCGCCATTTCCGAATCGCTCCTCCGTCTCCGACTCTCCGATCACCTCTGCGTCTTCAACGATCTCTCTCTCTCGATCGAAAATCGATTTCACAGCATCGGACGTTAGGAACAAAAACAAAATTGAGCTGAAAATTTAGGTTTCTCTATGAATTAATGGAGAGTATAGAAAGCAATGGCTTTTTGATATTTTGATTTTTTTTTTTGTGGAAGGGGAAGAGAATGAACAACAAAAATATCTTTGTAGGAGAGAGATGGGGAAGGAAGTTAGAGAAGGAAACTTCGAGAGAGGGTTTGATATTTTTTAAATTCATTTTAAGATATATTTATCTGACATGTCACGTGTTCGTTAGGCTATTGTAAAGCCCATATAAACCCAATTTGAGATTAACTTCTGGTTTCAAACCCAAGATACTCAAACAACACTTTTTCATTTTTTTCCTTCTCTTTAAGCATCTATATAATTAGTCAAATGTTTTTCCAATTAAACTGTTTATATTAACAACTTTTTATTACTTTGATGGGTTTTAAAATTTTATTTTCAATAGATTTTTATAAATTTTATATATATATATATATATTTTACAAACCATAAAAATCTGTAAATGATGTAATTTTTATTTTTATATGAGTTTATATATACAAACAATTTTGGACATTCACATTACATGATTTGAAAGTACAAAAAAAACATTTATTATAAAGCAAAAAATTAAATTATTTACAACTAAAAATTATACAATGTTATTTCAAATAAAAAAAAAGAATAGGTGAAATTGATAATAAATTTACTTCTTTGATCTCAACATCACTTTTTTAAATCGTACAACATTTTCTTTAACTATAGAATTTTGTCTTCTTCACCTTTTGAATCCAAGTGGTTGTATGACATAGTTCTCACCAAGTTCTCTACTGTGGAGCACTAAATTCACGTCCATTTAATAGATGATTCCATTTCATTTGTGTGATGAGATGAAGAACGGCTTGAATTGTGTTATGTCTTGAAACCAATGCAACGGTTTCAAGATAATCAACATCATCTTTTTGAGAGAATCCGTTCATTATTAACCGAGGCATCGTAAAAACATAGAAGAACTGGCTAGCCTAGTTGGAAAGCCATGGAGGATCCTTCTACTCTTTTTGTTGCTAGTATGATACACCTTGGACTTCGACTTTTTTAGATCTTCAGCAAATTCAGAAAATGATCCGTAGAAAGTTCGATGTCGCACTCATAGCTTAACACCACAAGGCCGACAAGATGGCACTACCCCCAAAGAGTAAATTGGGCCAAGGCTAACCCATATTTTCACATATATCGCATGATCAACTCCGAGCTCAGAAATCATAACAAGTTCATGTAATAGAAGCATTCATACACCCTAAAGTGGCTTGGAGGAGGTTTGTTTGCTCGGTTCGCCAGGGTGGGCAATACAAATTTGACCTCCTCGCTGATACCGAAGCGAGCCCTCAGATCCAATAAACGTTGCGCTGATGAAAGGGTGGACCCTGGTGGATCGGCATTCTTCTTCTTCACGGCTCGTCGCCTCGATGGACCTTCTGCCTAAGCCTTCATAAGGATGTTCAATTCCCTCCTTGCCTCAACCGGACCGAAGTTCCAATCTTCTTCCTCGAGCTTTACCTGAACGGCTCGGCAACAGGCAGAGGAGTTGGATTGTTGGCCACAAGACCCAATCTGTTCACCTCGTCATTAGACGACCAGTTCGCCTCGTCATCAGATGGACCACCTACTTCGGCCTTGGAAGCCTGATCTTTATCTGAATTTGCTTCGGGAGATTCGCACGACTCGTCCCGAGGAGAATGGACCATCTTGTGACCAAGGTTCATCGAGGAATTTGTTGAGCTGATAGAATCTTCTAAGTTAGAAAGAGTCGGCTCGGCTTAGGAAGACATTAAAGGATCCATGAATCTTGGCTCGGTGGATTATTCGAAGACGGATCGAAAAGTTTGAAGATTGATCGAAGAGTTTGAATGTGGATCAGAAAAATCAAGGCGGATGGCGGCAGAACGACCAAATTAACAAAGAAGCCCTAACCAAACCTAAACATGAACAAGAGAGAAGTGAGAGAGGAGAGAAAAAGAGAGCAAATCTTTAATTTTTTTTTTTGAGAAGTGGAGATTATGAGAAAACTTGGGAGGGTTTCAGTATTTATAAACGAGCAGGTGCGTGGGCACGCATCACCTCGGGAACATGTGAGACGATTGCAATTCCTAAGGTAATTTCAAGACTTTTAAGATATAATTAGACTTTTCGATGACATGCTTTGGGCCCAAATATTTTGGAGGAAAAGCCCAAACTAAAAACCTCATGAATAAAAATATCTGAAGCGTTTCAAAACCACAAAGCATCGCTGAGAACTACGAGGCGAGGAAAGCCACAAGGCCTCGTTAAGAGAAAACATGCCTTGTCAACAATGCAAACGCCTCATCAACAAAGCAAACAGCACATGAACAAAGCAAACGCCTCGTCAACCAAGCAAACGTCAATCAATTAACCCCACTACTAATCAGATGTAGTATATCATAGGGTATTTTATCAATCCAAATGGGGGAAGATGACACATAGAGAATACATGATATTCTATGAGCTAAGCCAAGCAAGTAAGGTTTGTTTTAAATCAAGTAAGGTTTGTTTTAAATCTAACAGTTAAGTGATCATCCAACTGAAAGGAATTTAAAGAAACAGGACAATGAGTAGTGAATAAAGTTAGTAAACACAACTCTCAAACTAATAAGAACATAGCAAAACAAAGCAAATAACAGAGTAAATTTGAAATATGACAGGAGCATTCTAGGATGGAGTTATTGACATAATATGATTCTTAGTCTTAAAAAAGATGTTCAAACAATCAATAAATACATGATCCTTTACTCAAAACATGTAAGCCAACGACGCCAAATTAATAAGCAGGTTTTAGGTACTCAAGCAATTAACCCAACTACTAATCAGAGGTAGTATATCATAGGGTTTTTTATCAATCCAAATGGGGGAAGATGACACATAGAGAATACATGATATTCTATGAGCTAAGCGAAGCAAACAAAGTTTGTTTTAAATCTAACAACCTAAGTGATCATCAAAATAAAAGGCATTTAAAGAAACAAGACAATGAGCAGTGAATAAAGTATGTAAACACAACTCTCAAACTAACAACAATAGAGCAAAACAAAGTAAATTCGAAATATGACTAGAGAGTTCCGGGATGGGCTTATTGACATAGAATAATCCTTGGCCTTAATTAAGATGTTCAAACAATCAATGAATGCATGATCCTTTACTTAAAATATGTAAATCAATTCACTCTCATGACAATGATTTCTTTGAAATTAATCTAATCAAGATGCAATTCTCATTAGTGATCAGGACACAATCAAGCATGAAGAAGCAGTTTTATAAAGCCAATAAACTTTCTAATCATCTATTCTCATGTGCTAGGTAAGTAAATCCACTAAGTGGTTGGTTCGGGCATTTCAGTGAACACTATTGATGCAAGAGAAAACCTAGTTTTGAATCTCACATGATCAGAGCAAGACAAGCATTAAGAACACTAAATAGTGAAGGATCTAACATCGTCTACACCTAAACATCAAGCTATAAACCTTGGATCATCCTAAATCTAACCTATCCTTAAACCCAGAAATGACTACTCACAAATCATAGTTGATCTATCAAAATCTAGACAAATGATGAAGGAAAACATGATCAAAAGGACTAGATAGAAGATTAATAACAAGAAATGCAAGATTATATTAGAGAGAGAGAGAGAGAGAGAGAGAGAGAGAGAGAGAGAGAGAGAGAGAGAGAGAGAGATAAGTATTTTTGTGCTTAAAAGATAAGATAAAGCTTAAGACACTGCAAAAAAAAAATATATTACATCACTTATAAAATGTCAATAAAATAACTGATTCTATTTAGAATCATTTATTAAAAATTAACACTAAATATAAAATTTTACATTAGTTTTTAATTGATACTAATCTTAACTTGACTAGTATCAATTAAAAACAATTGATACTAATACTAATTTGATTAACATCAATTAAAAACAACTGATACAAATAATTAATAATTTATATCATTTTAAAAAACTAACACAAATATATAAGTTTACATCAATTATATAAGTGACGCATTTGATCAACTAGCATTATCATCAATAATAAATGATGCTAATATTTCTTTAAGTTATAAAAGTGATGCAAATAAAATTTCAACAAAACAACTACTTGTCCCGTATTGCTAAGAATGATGAAAAATACTAGTTTCCTCCTCTATAAAATAAACTCATCAACACTAATTTTTTTTTTTGGTTAAATTATATGTATGTATTTATTTACATATATTTCTGAGAATAATAAATATAAAATGATTAGTTATCTTAAATTTATAATGTTCTAAAATTAACACAAAATTTTAAATTAATATAAATTTTAATATTCCTGAATTTTAATATATAATATCATTTATTATAACTAAAACTAAAACTAAATATCATTTATTATAACTGATCTAAATATTAATATCATTTATTTTAAGTGATGTATGTTAGAGATGAAATTTGTATCATCTCTAAGAGCCCGACATGAACTCTGGTCGGCCTACTTTGGAAACCCAAAAAATATTCAGGTCTGCCAAATAAATGAAAATTCTCCATTTATTGGATTAAATCCGGAGAAGTCGGAAGATTAGTCTTATCGGCAAGAAAGTTTTCCTATTTCGAGTATACGATGTTATCTCCAGAAGACCGACCTGATCGGGTATAAATATAGAAGCTATTAGCTTCTCGAATGAATAAAAAAATCCTCTCTCGAGACCTAGGGCAAACTAGCAATCTATTATTCTTAGTTCTCGAGCTTTCTCTCATTCATAATTTAGGTCGGCATTCTTATTCCGACGACCTAAACACCATGTATCTCTTGATCTCCGACTTTAATCTAATAAAGATCTCTCTTTAAATCTACTAACTCTTGTTCAATCTCTAGATCGAATTTGAGTTATCACAGTTGTCGCCGTCTGCGGGGAATAAGAGACTAAATCTTTAAAGAAAAGCGGAGCTTGAAGATGGCTGAGACACCCACCAATCCTGATACCACCGCTCCCTCCGGAAGAACCACCGATCTTCCCAGAGACAACACCCAAGGCCGGCTTGTCGACCCAATCACCGGACATCCTGTGGTCGACCAGACCAATCTACAGACAGACGATGCAGCCGCTGCGTGAAACACCTTTGGGGCGAATCAGATCGGCCAGATTACTGGAGTGAACCAGGCCGAACAGACATCCGAGGCAAACCAAACTGAC